GGTGTTAATTGTGTATGTATAATGTATTGCCAAATGGTGTATATGGAAATTGGGACTAATTATTTATCTTCGTTTTCTTTTCATGTGGAAGAAGAATAATTCTACTCTTGGAGAATAAAAAAAAGAAATTAATGTTGGGAAAGAAATGACTCAATTTGGTATACGCAACATATTTTCCATAGGTTAGACATCTATCAAACTTCATTTGTAAATTTTTCCAATAAAGAAAAAAAAAATCAATTTTATATATCTAGAGGAAGTCTTGGGACGTTTATATATTAATCTTAAATTGCAGAACAGCATATCGAAGACTTACCATGATCATCATATGGATACTTTGCCGGCCAAAAGCATATGCTAGAGCATTGACTCCTCTTTTGGGCGAAAGATGGGCTCGATAGGCTTAAAACAGACTACTGTTGACTACGTCCCAAAAATAGACAGAGATGACATGAGAAACGAAAGGTACTATCAAACAAAACGTTGATTATTCAGAAAAAAGAAAAAGAAAACAAAAAAAAACAAAAAAAACGTTGATGAGACATGAATTTCAAGCTCGCTATCTAAAAGCCTAGGAAAAATGCTAAAGGGCACCAGGACCCCACCTGTGAGTCTCATGTTACAGGACCCACATTTTTTAACATCACTGTTACCTTATGTTTTGGGCAATAGAAATTAGATCCTATTTGTATGTCCCATGAATAAGATCTATCTTGGGCGGTATTGTTTAACATGTTGTGCTTGTAAAACGACATCCCATGTATCCATCATGTTTGAACAAACACATCCATCCAAATGTTCACAATGATTGATTACAGCGAGATGGGAATGTTCTATCTTTTTTTCTTTAATGAAAGAAAATTACGCTATATGGGTTAGGAAAAATGTCAAAAGAGATGGCGTATTATGTACGAGTAATGGAGTTCTTTTTTTTTTTTTTTTTTTTTAAAAGAATGCATTATCTTATCTATCATTTTTTTTCAAATGTAGAGAAATGAAAGCTTTGTGGAAAATTTTGGACATTAAAAAATTCTACGGTAGGGTGAAGGAGAAAAACTCTTACCATTAAGAATTTTCTTTAATTGTGACATCTGTCTAGATAAATTGAAAGAAGTTGAACTTTCTTTTTTCCTCAATAGTTATTCAATAACCTATAACTATAGTTTTCCTAGTGTTAGACAAGATAGTTGATGTAACCATTTCGTCATCTAGTTTCTTTCCCTTTATGGGGTTGAGACCAATTATTGATTTGCATAGAGGGGAAATTATCAAGGAAAATACTATAGAATATTGATTCATTCACGGCGGTGTAATATTTTTAAACCATATATTCAATGACTAGGGAAAATCTTTTGAGAAGTAAATATTTAGTTGGGATATATTGGAAAGGATGCAGTTGTTGATCTGCACCATTGAAAGATGAAAATAGTGGATAGACGAGAAAGCAAATAATTGTTCATCTACCTAGCCAAAAGTAGCTTATAATTTTCTAAAGCTAAAAGCTTTTTGAAAGCCAATTAGCAAAATAGCAATTATACAAAAAAAAAAAAAAAAAAATACACATAGCCCCACAACCATTATTATTGTTCTTTGGAAGAGACTAATTTTCTTTTATTTCGTTTTTCTAATACAGCAGAAAGTAGAGATGGTTGTTTGAAGTTCTGAACAATTTGTGACAGCAAAACTAAAGCCAAACAACTCCTTTACTTTTTCTTTTAAACTTTCGGGTCCGAAGATGTAAACAAGGTCAAGTCATGTGTGAATTTACTGTTACGCTATATAATTATAGTTGCAACTACAACAACTTCCGTATTCTTGATGTCGTAAGACAGTTAGAAGGTTAAATATCATAATTACCGATCAAATTAATGCCTTTATTTTTAAGAGTGAGGCTTAACTATCTTTACATCTAAACTTTGATGAGATCATCACAATGAATGAGGATTAGAATACCAACATTTGTTCTGTTACAACGATTACTGACGTTGTCCATCAGCTTGCCATTCATGATCAATTCAAAGTCAATGTACAATATTTGAAAAAAAAAAAAAAACGCAAAAAAAGTGCAGAACAAAACTGAAACATGTAAAACTAAATTTAGGTAAGAAATCCTTTACAAAAGTGGCATACAATAGCCTATAATGTTTGTATATATGTGTAATATGATTGTATATAGTAAAGTACTGCCCTCCTTGATAGCTAAACTAACACTTGCAATTGCACTTGGGTTTGTTCTATCAATATTGGTGCAGTAAAAAAGTTCAAGTATGCATACATGACAATATGTGCCTCCAGATTGTGAATTAAGTGGTACACGTGTAACTGGTAACAGATTTGTACTTGGTTAGGTAACAAGTGTGAAAAGTACTATGATTTGTACTTGGTTAGGTACTAATCAAGTGTCGGTAATGAAATCCATCTATGTAAGGTCGAAGCTCATACGTACTACTTCTTGTTTGAGTATTGGTCATGATCATCCTGATCTTGGACGTGGCCTGAAAAATTTTGGTCAAGAAGAGGAAATCAATTAATTAGTTTGACGAACAATATATAAGCAAATCCATAATTATTGGTAGTTAAAATCAAATAGTACAGCTTGATATATAGATCAAGTCCCTAAACAAACGAACATGCACAGGGGTAAGCAATAAATTAAATATAGGTTTAATAACATAGATCTATTAATGTCTATACAATCATGTAAATAGCACATAATATGACAAATAAATTTAACCAAACTACGACTTCAGAATTGAAAATATGTTGCACTAATGATTTGGTAAATTGGGATTTCTATTTATTACCACTATACATCCATGTTCAAGTGTATACTATTCAGTAAAACTAGTACTGTTGGCTACAAATTGGCGGTAATTAGTTAATGCTACTAATATCTAACCAAAAAGCAAAGAACAAAAAAAAAAAAAAAAGATTCTTCTCCAAATAATTATAAATATGCCACATACGTTTTTGTAGCTATTCTTCTGCATATTATACTTGCTAACTTCTGATCAACGAAATTAACAGAAATATCTTATTATAACATGATCATGACCAAGTATAAATTATGGCATATAGTTGAAGGGGGGATTAAGATGCGCTCTTTTTTTTTTTTTTTTTTAACACACATATAATTGAAAGAATTTGCGATAGCTACCCTCTAAAAAAGAAAATCTAAAACTCATAACACAATCATAAGAAAAAAAAAAATTCGATGCTGAATTATTCTCAAACTATTAAGGAGGACCTGGCCCAACATTAATACAAGCCTACCTAGAGAAACTAAAGTGCATGTTTTTCATTTTTCTTTTTCTGTCCTAGAAGCTGTACCCAAGTACGAACCGTCGAACCGCAAACATACAATTCCCAAACGAAAATGCATCCAATTATTTGACTCCAGAAAAAGATAGAGCGCATTAACAACTAAAAATGATGAAAATTCTAACCAGTTACAAAAATATTTAGCGGCAGTGAGCTGAGAATTATACAAGAAAATCCCAAGAAGAAAGAATTATGAACTAAAATAATACATTTTAAAAACTAAAACATGTCCCACGTAAACATGTACTCATGAAAGAAAATTCAAATAACAGAAATTTAGATGAAACGTCCCCGTATTAATACAAGCATATTTAAAAACTTTTTCTTTTAAGGATTCTACCAAAAGAAATTAAACACAGTACTGTTTTACAAGCACTTCTATTTTCTGTCGTATAGTAGATTAAAAGTTTGCGCATTGTAAGTAGTATCCATAGAGTTAACCCACTTTTATTTTGACCCCGATGATAATATAACTAAAGTTTGGGAGAAAAATTATTACATAATTTTCCAACTGTAAAACGACAAAAAAGAGATAATATACTAATTTTTACAATAAAATTTCAAGCAAAGACAATTATATACATATAGAACTCAAATAAATTCCCAAGGTGCAAATACCACTCCAAAGACTAATATTGGAAAAAAAAAACGTATATTTAATTTCAAGAATCAAGAACGACAAGAAAGTGGCAGTCGTTTTAAGGTTACATACGCGCGCGATGGACCGGGTTGGACCCACTCGCCGTTGCGCCAATCAAGATGGTTCCTGAGCCTGAAAAATGGAAACCTGTACACGCCGCCATTAGTGTCCAAGCGTACGGATAACTCCGGAGCTTCGGCGGGGGATTGATTGTCGTGGACGGCGGAGATCCGGCCGACCCACCACGCGCCGTCGTCGTAGGCGTCGACCTTCTGAGAGACGGCGTAGTCTGTGCGGTTGCTGGGGGAGGGCGGGACGGGCCTCAAGAAGTCGTCGTCGACGATCTCCGTCTTAAGGGTCGTCATTGCTTCGTCGGTGTAGCGGGTCTCGTATTGGACCAGGCTGTGGGTCCCTCCCATCGCCGCCATGAACGTCGCTCGAAGGTAGTACGCGTCCGCCACGAACCCCGTTCGTCTGTGGCACACCTCCACCGTCTCCTTGTGCCGGAACGGCATCCTTTTGATGAGAGATAAAGAGAAAGAAAGAATGAGAGAGACAGAGAAGTTGAAGAAAGGGTTTATGAGGTTTTGAGAGATTTTTGCTTGTAGTTGTGGAAATGGCTGTATAATGGGGAATATCTATATATATTACACACGCGCGGGCGTATATATGGAAGCTCTCTTTCTTTCTTTCTTTTTTTCTTTCTTGGTTCTTTTCTTTGATTGTTTATGGAGTGGTATTAAACGGAATCAATGGTTGATGAAGGTGTAGGATTTTTCTGGTGAAGTAATATAAGCCGTCTGATTTGCATGCTAATATATATGGGATGCTTGTGAATCGGAATTTGCTGCGACGTCCGTTAGTTCTCTCTCGGCGAGGATTGTGCCAAATTTAGGTGTAAGATGTTACTATATAGATCACTCATATTTGTCAAATTTTTATAGGTTTAAGATGATTATGTTTTGAGTAGGAGATTACCTAGTATTTTCTATAAAAATTATTTCTACTTTTTTTTTTGTCTCTTTCAGGAAATTAGGGTCTCCAACAAGAACAAATTCATAATTTGGATTTTGCCAATTCCATATTAGACAATGTTATATGAGCGGTGCCAAATACTTTATATCGTGCCAAAATATATAAAGGGTTATAGATAACACGATCGACAAATGTCTTATGGAAAAGATGAGAAGTCAAAACTCAAAACATATAAAAAAGAAGACCAGCTAATTGTGGAACTCAAATCACTTGTTCAATTTTAGTGTCTTAAATGGTGTCTAATTAATTATATTATTTCATATAATTTTAAAATGTAATTTTTTTTCACTCTTTAATGATTAAGTCATTAAATGACGTGATATAATATAATTGATTACACTCTATTTGGGACACCAAAACTTGAACAGCTAATCCGACCTCAAATTGATGTGATGAGAATTAATTAGGATATATACAATATATTTTTTTACGACTTTCTCCTTCATTTTTTTTTTAAAGTTTTTCCAATCACAAGGGACAAGCCCTACATTGGAAACATGATACCGTACAAGGTATACATCTTACCATATCTAAAATCAACACTATAATGATTACCCAAAAAAAAAAAAATCAACCCTATAATAACAATAATAATAGCAACCTCCCTGTAGTGAAAAGAAAAAAAATACTCTCCCCTAAAAGAATAAAAATAAAACATACTCCGCATATTTATTACAATTTCAACCTATAAGCTTATATCTTTTCCATTGGGGGGACAAAAAAAAAACAAACAAACAAAAAGAACAACAACGAGAAGAGCTCATATGTCATTGTGGCACATATTCCGATTTATACACGCTGCTCAAAATATGAAATAACATGCCGATTAATATTATTATGTAAATATGTTGATATTAGAAATGAAAATATTACAAGATCAAGGCATTCAGGCACCAAAAACGCATAGAAACCGAATCTTCCGAGCCTCACGAACAGATAGGGTAAAAGGAGTAGTATAAATTAGTCCAAGTACAAGGCGTAACAAGTCACTCAAACATTATGAGGAGTTAAACAAGAAAAACTCCTTAATTGTAAACATTAAGTACAGAGATAAAACGAATGACATGATCATCATATAATAACAGGGAAGAAAAACCCTTTTTTTATTTTAAAGGAATTAATTGACCCTAATTAAGTAAACATGACTTGACGTGAACCAAAACATTAATCAATTATAATCATGTGTTTTTGTTTCCTCATACAAGGCCTTCGGGGGTGATTCCGAGCTCTCTGAGGACCTCGGGGCACTCGGGAAGAGAATTCTTCTTGAGGAAGCCGAGAGGGTTGGCTTGGCGTACTGGGCTTGTTATGCCATTGTTGCTTGTGAGGCTAACCCTAGCGTTTAGCTTGTTGTATGGGTCGTTGCTTATCTCCGAGCAGTCGGGGACGCTGCTCTTCACTAGCTTAACCTCGCACACCTCCTCCTCGTGGTCGCCATCAACCGCAATCCGGTATGTTCCGCTCTCATCGGTCACTCCGTCGTTGCTGTATGTCACGCTCCCTCCTTCACTCTCTCTGCACTCCAACCGCACCTTTGCACCTGCATGCATATCACGAAATTATATAATAATTTACTTAGCAAATGCTATTTCACTTAACTTTTTTTTTTTTTTTTTGAATTTTGAATTTTGACCTAAATGAATAACTTGTAAATTTATATGATTATGATGTGATCTGATGTTTCAAAAACGATAACGTACCTTTTATGTAGTTGCTGACCTTGGTAACGAACTGAGCGCGGCACGTGTCGCAGTAAACCCTGCCCTCCACGATCAGGTGTGGGGTGTCGCAGTAGGCGAAACCAAGGAGGGACATGAAGCAGAGGGCGGAGGCAATGATTATTACCGACTTCGTCATGGTGTTTTTCTTTGGTATTACTATTTGTTTTTTCCTGCTTAATTGCTTTTTCTTTTTTGATTCGGGTGGTGAATGTGATTGATTCAACACGTATTGTGAAGAAGGGTGATCTCTTTTATAAGGGAAAATTGTGGGTGTAGTTTTGGGGTATTTTTTCTGTCGTTTAGTTTGGCAGTTATTTTTGTGGGGTTGTGGTTCGTTTTCCTGGTTTATATGTGGTTGATGACCAATGCCAGCTCAAGGCTAAAGGCCATTAAGGCAACTGCCTAAGGCCCCATTGCCAAATCCCCTTATTAATAGGATCTATAATAACTAATTACCTTCCTGGTTTATATTTTATGCTTATAGTAATATTGAATATATCAAGCGAAATTTTTTTCTCACCATCTATGTTCTTTTTTTGCCACATGTCCTCTCATTTTCTCTAAAAATAAAGCTTAATTACATGCCATTCTTTTGCAATTTATTACTAAGTCTGCCATTGGTATATTTAAAAGCATAAAACAGGGAAGAAATTTGGCAATTGTTCGTCTCCTTTCTTTGGAGAGAAAAAAGTAATGATAATAGTGGAAGCATTGCAAATAGCATTTGAAGGGAAACGATAATGATCCAGATAAACACTAAGCAAAGGTTTCTTGTCATAAGAGTAGAAATAAATATCTTGTCTGGGTTTCCTCAATATATATATATATATATATATATATATTTCCTTTCAAAATTATGTGTGTATATATATATATATATATATATTATCACTGGCTGGGAAACGTTTGTATGCCCGTTTAAAAGAGCTAGGCAGAATAATTTTGAAAGAAAGTTTCTAAAATGATACGATTTATATGTATGTAATTTTTTTTTTTAATAAATTTATAGTTGCACATGATTGTTCTTTTGAAAAAGTCGTGATATAAAATTCGTAAACGCTATATTTGTTGTCTATATATATGCCAAGTAAATCGGTAACTATTTAGTATTAGAGCAATTATATTTACACCCACTAAATTCATCAATACCTCCATAAATTTATAATTTATATTTATCTTGCATTAAAATTAATTACATTAAAACCTATTAACATATCCCACATTAATTATAAATGGAAATAATAGTTTTTTCAAAAAAAATAAAAGAACATACGCCCATATTAACTATAATTAGAAAATATTTTTCAAATGAATAAAATAGCATAACCCCACTTTTTGTTTTATACTAAACCAAAATCAATCTGAAAATAAGAAACGAACGAGTCTTCATTAATTTTGCCTATTAACAATATAATTAGGCAAAGCAATCAAATAAGAAGCTTTGTGAGGATCAAACCCGAAGAGTTGTTCTTGTGCTTCTTTGTTCAAAGAAGAAGAAGGAGGATGACGAGATAAGATGTAGACAATTTATAAATAAAGATAAAGAGAATTGCGTTAATTTTTTTTTAAAATATATATAATATTAATAATTGAAAGGGATCATATTATTTTATAAATAAAATTAAGTGGGCGTATGAAAGGGTTAGATTAGTTATTATGAAAATTGTATCTATAAAAAGTAGATTTTTCAAATCTTTATTAGATGAGTATTAATTATTGAGGACGTCTATAAATTTTTACGTGCAAATATAACTACCCATAATATTAATGGAACGAAATTCAGAATTGGTTTTTTAAAGAGAATTTGCTTGTTTAATATTTTGAAAAAAAAAAACAAAATCTTTAATAATAAAATTCAGATTTTTGAAAAAAATAAAATAAAGCGTACAAGATAAAAAAAAAAAAAGAAAGGAAAATATATAAATATTGTAATATTCAAGAACCCCTAGTTTGTAACAGTGAAAACAAGAATAATTTGTAGTTAAGGCTTCATTTTATTGGAAAGTGAGAGAACATGTGAAAAATGGAGAATTTAGAGAAAGTGAGAAATAGTGATTTGTTAAGTGACCATAGCATTTCTCATATATTAATTAATTTTCTTTCTAAAAAAGCAAATCTCATTTGTTAGGTATTAGTTTAAAAGATGTTTGTTTCTCAATATTAATTTTTGAATTTATACTTTTTTTTGGTGTAACAAACGTTTGTTGTGGCATATTTAATATTTTATTTCAAATACTTTTTATTCCTTTTTTGAATAATTGTTCCGTTGAAAAGCAATAACAAAAGAAAAGAAAACTTAATCTTACTATAGCTCCCTGTTGATACTCGATTTTGTACCACGCTCAAGGGTCCAGGCTCAACTATAATGTCACACGACGTTATTAGACTCGTTTCGTGGATCCAAATCATGCTTGGAGAACTCCTATAGAATGTGATTTGGTGGGCTATGTGTGATCAAGTAAGCTTGTTTTTCGTTTAATTCAATCCAATTTGGATCCCGCTTGGGGGGCTTTCAGAATTAATCGGATTAAATACAAATGGGTGATGGAGAAACTCTAAAAAGCCTTCATCCCATCCTTTTGGAAGCCCAAAAGCCCTAAATCCATGCCTTGGAACCTCTACCTCTTCGTCAAGGTTGATTTTTAATGTTTTGACTCCAACAGAGGCTTTACTAGCGCCAGACGTGCCTAATGAAAGCTCTCTCCGTGGCAGACATGTCTACCGGAGCATCCTCTTCATATCCAAGTATGCCTAAAGGAGCCTTTTCTATGTCAAGCATCCTTCCTTTGGACTTCTTCGTGCCTAGCTCACCATTTGAGCGACCTTTACTTGGAGCGTGCTCACCCAGAACAGTGTTTGTCTGGAGCACACTCACCGTCGGAGTAGCTTCATTCGGAGCAACTTTCGTGTCAGAGCCAACTTGACAGCTGCTTAGCCAACATTGTGTAAACCATCTCTGAACATGCGATCAGACCTCCGAAAGAGGAAGTCAACGAAGCATGAAGTTGAGTCAAACACTCTTAAGAATTTCAGATCTTGGACACGTCGGCTTCAAACTTGGAAATTTGCCTCCAAGTCTTTCCATTTTTGGGTTTTTTATTTATTAATCCAAAAAGTCATATGATCGCTTTGCTCCAAAGGGAAATACGTGTGCAGATCTCCGTCAGAGCACTGCCGATTGGCTTCAGAGCAACCACCATGAACCTTTCTTTCCATTTTCGAACCAGCTCTTTATCAACCCCAGAAAGGCTTCTAGTAATTGTGCTCCATTTGGCTCGCGTATGCATGCTTCCTTCAGAGCACCGCCGATTCACCCCTAGACCATGTTCCCAAAAGTCTTCATTCCATTTTCAGCTAATCTCCTCTTAAACTCTGGAAAGGTGTTAGAAGGCTTTGCACCATCGGGATTGCTTGTGCAGGCATCTGTCAGAGCACACCGTACGAACCTTCAGAGCTGCAGCCAAAATCCTACAAACTTCACCTATAAATACCCTCATCTTCCTCTTTCCAGATGACCTGAAGACGAGAGAAAAACCTGAAACCTGAAGACTTTGAGCCCTCTTAACCCCCTTATTATCATCACCAATCATTGTCTTCATCTTCTTCAGATCACTCTCTCTCTTTCTTCAGACTTCCCTACTCTCTTGCTATAGAAACTTGAAGTTCTTTAAAACCTTCAAACTTCTTCAAAGCTTCCAAGTGTTGACAGCCTTGGAAACTCTACCAAAACACTTTTTGATCCATTTCCACCACCATTACAAAGTTCTTTGAAGTTTCTTCACATATTTTTCGGCAATGTTCCAAGTCTTCATTTTTGGGGTAACTTTTGCTCACTGTCGGAGCAAGTGCTCCGAATGTCATTCTTACTACCAGAGAAACACGTGTTGCTCTTGGAGTTCCCTTCACCAGAGCTTTATCCACCTCACCAACTTCACTCTCACTCTCCAACAAGCCTTATCCACCACGTGTGTCACCATTTTCGCATCTGGAGCAGCTCACGCTTGTCTCTAGAGCACTTCTCTATCAAGGCACCTTTGGCCTTCTTTTCTCCATCTCCATCAACTACTTGGTCGGACATCCCATAATTCTTCATCTCCGAAGATCAGCTCACGCTTGTCTCCAGAGCACTTCTCTATCAAGGCACCTTTGGCCTCTTTTTCTCCATCTCCATCAACTACTTGGTCACACCTCCCACCATTCTTCATCTCTGAAGATCTTTCATTTGTGTTTGCAGATTCTCTAACATATTTTACAGGGCATTTTTGTCATTTCGGCAACAAGGAAGGTCCTAGGACACGCATCCTTTGGCCTAATTTGGGCCTAACTGACTCCACTTCTTCGTCGGAGGTCCCGCCATCATTATCCACATCGAAGCTTGGCCACGTCGGATTCGCTTCTGACAAACCGCGTGCTTATGCGTGTCAACCCCCGACACGTTAACCCTCTGAATCTACCGGACCCTGACACTCCCAAACATATACACTCAAATATTATTTTTACAACTAAATAATTTCCTTTAAACTTTGTTCTTATTCACATTCTCTCCTAAAAAGATTCTTTTGAAGAGTTAAAAAATAAAAAATAGTAAATGAAATTCTATTATTTATTCTTAGTTTGGTTTTATCTTTTGTTCTCTTTACTATATTTTTATTTTTTAAGGTAAAATTTCATTTAATTAAAAGGTCTTACAGACACCAATAATAATGCGGATGACCCTATAGTACACAATACAAAACACTCAAACGGTGCCATCAGTAAATTCTGATGAAGCACAGAAAAGACAATGCAATATGAGACTCGATGTTAGGAAAATTTCTCAACACGTCAATTTGAGCATGCATAAGGCTCTTTTTGAGACCACTACAATCGATGGAAGCTTTCAATCCATCGAGAGCATGTAACATGTAGCTCTAAAGCCATCAACATCTCCGTATAGACTAATAGCTAATGGAACTTTTAACTCGCCAAGACGTAAATATGGCGGACCAAACAAACTCAAATGATGGTAGAACCACCTCCATTATTACAAATAAAATACTAAAAGTAGGTAGAAATATTGACGCTTTTATTAGACTAAAATTTAAACTCAAAGCACGACCGCCGCAAACCTTCAATGAAAGTATAGCCGATAAGAGGATATCAGGGTAGGAAGAACGCTTCTAGGGAGAAATAGAGAAGCCAGCAGGATGCCTTAAAATAGTAGAATGTGAAACACATGCGCCGCCACCATCAACATCTAGAGCCGACACCACCACCTCCAACAAAAGCCCACCACCATTTAGAACAAAACCCCCAAAAGAGAACAAACGCCATATGAGAAATGCACTGGAAAATGCCTTCAAGCCGTCTGGATTCCATCCTTTAAACGAAATCAAATCTGCCCTAATGAAGCCACCCTGCCAAACACAATTACTGTCATTGAAAAGTGCAAAACAATAAGAGTCCCGTAACCAAATTTCAAGACTAGAAGTCCAACAATGCGTCTAAAGGCAGTTCCAGAATTCTGCTGACTCACTGTCTTTTCACTCATTCTCGTTTCTTTCCCAGGGCCGGCTCTTAAGGAATAAATTTTTTGTTATTAACTATATTATTATCAATAATATTAATGGTATAGTGTTGCTTACATTTTGTTAAGAATTCTTATAATGTTATGTTTTTTGTTACTTCATTTATAGTACTAAGATACTTTACAAGATATGAAAGAAAACAAAATAAAGATTGGAAAAATAAATTAAATAACTGAAAGGAGATCAATAAAAGTTTCTAAAAGATAAAATCCCACAACAATAGCATTGTGTCATGATCACTCATGCTTTTTTTTTAATGAATGGTCACTCATGCTCTTTTTTCCCTTTTTTCTTCAATGAATGCTCCACTTTCCAAACCCTGATGGTATGTTTACTTATGCATAATCAAAATGGGCATAAATTTTAAGTGGGTAAAATTCATAATGAATAGGATTCAAAATGAGAATCGAAGTCAGAAGTGGTTTATTTGGTTATTAGATTTGTAATCGAAATCAATCTGAATCTCGTTTATGCATTTACTTACTTACACTTAGAATCAGAATAAACTATTATAAAAAATGCTAAATTATCTTTTAAGTAAATTTCGTATTTTTAATTTTAAAAAATAAAATGTGTTCTTATTATACTAATGCTTATAAAAAATCAAGAATATTAAATATAAGTCACATAATTTTTAAAAAAGTAAAAGAAATTATCAAAATTTCAATAAATAAATAAAAATTAAAAATAAAGTACTAAAAATTTAAATATTTGTAATTTTAATGAGAAATTAAGTACATATTTATTATATTAAAGTTAATAATAACTAGGCTAACATTAAAATATTAAATATAACGTCAACAAATAAATATAGACTATCTTTCTCTTTCTCTTTCTCTTTCGTGGGGCGGCTAAGATTTTGAGTTTGGAATCTCTTCTTAGGGTTGGAGTCTGGCACCGCCACTAGTTGGTCACTAGACTCTTGACCCTTGAAATGGTGGCTGAGGTCATGCAGGTGTGGTCGATGGTTGATGGGCTCAGACCTGGTGAGGAGCAAGACGTTGCTGGTGTATATGTGGCCGCAAGGGCATCGTTCGGATTTTTTACTTCTAGCTTTGTCTATGATGGTTGCGCTTCTGCTATGACGGCTCTGCTCAGATCCAATTTCTTTAGCTTTTGTACAATGGTTATTGGCTTGTCGTCGGCATCTATTCCTGTATGGTTAAGGCTATTTCATAGGATTTTGTTGATTTTAATAAAGGCGTTATTTTTATCAAGTTTATATATTGTAATAACGGAGATGATTTCCTCACTTTCTAAATTCATTTATATATCCTACTTGTCTAAGTTAGTACTTTGCCGAACGTAGCACACAGACTGAAGTTTTATTATTATTATTATTATTATTATTATTATTATTATTATTATTATATTGTAATAACGGAGATGATTTCCTCACTTTCTAAATTCATTTATATATCCTACTTGTCTAAGTTAGTACTTTGCCGAACGTAGCACACAGACTGAAGTTTTATTATTATTATTATTATTATTATTATTATTATTATTATTATTATTATTATTATTATTATTATTATTATTATTATTACAAT